GTATATCCCTAAAAGTACTTCTAAACCCAATTGAGTAAATTACAAATCACACCCAGTTTACGAAGCTATGCGGCAGAAAGTCATTTATACTCCAATCACTTTGTTGTGTTGTACAGTGAGCGATTTTATACCACTTCCTGCGCCTAGGTCGAAAGCCTCCTCATACCGCCAAATACTTTGGACTGTAAATATGTCGATAATCTCGTTATGGGTTGCATAATCCTAAGCGTTAAGAACGCTCTGAAATTGTAAGGAGGATTCGAATAATTGCTGCGTTGGTTGATCTCTCGGTCCAGCTCTCTCGCCCCTTCAAGTTATTGTGACGAAAATACCTCCAGACTCCATCCGCTTGTACCTATCCCCCTTCCCTTATTGTGAAAGACTTAAACATAACTCGTATATCTATTGTACACTGTCTCCGTTTTCTAATCTCACAGTTTGCCTACATTTACTCCTGTAGCGTAAAATTTAGAAGGCTCTCTTTCTACGCACTTCGGCTTAAATTTCCTCCCTTTCCCACAATTTACTACTAACTTTTCTAAATGCATATATCATCCCTTACTGGTTAAACGGTTCATCAGTTATTTATTTGCATTACTTCAAATGTATCATGTTCTTCTTGAATGTTCAATACAATTTATTTATCGATGAGCTGGAAAAAGAAAAAAGCTGCTCAATTATGGAAGCAAACATTTAAGCGGCCCATCGATTTTGGAGTTGCCTATGTCAAAAGAGATATTTCCTTCACGCACCTAAGAGTTCCAATTATCAAGGTGCCCAACTCAACAGCAGTATTATGTCTGATGACGTAACTACTCGGCGATGAGAGAGAGCTTAGTCATAAGGTGCGGATCTCCAGTTTGACTAGGATTAGTGGGACAGCTGACGTTGCGGTCGCCTTCCGCACAATCACTATCTGTCTGTCAAATATCCGCTCTACCACAGCTATAAATCTGAGAACTGCAATAACCGCACACAGCGTATTACCGAAACATTGATCTTCTTTTTATGTTTATTCACGTAAATAGGTTTTACTTAAAGGTATTTTGAGACAAAGCGATACATACTTTTTAATATGTTACTCTGATTCGCACAATTTTGTACACTCTGTCAAGTCGCATACTTAAGCCATTTCGATAAAGGTTATTTTTCCGTCAGCCTGTGTCGAATGGCACAATGCCCCTCAAGTTTCTCCTATTCGTTATGAGTATATATTCTATTATCTTTAGAATCGATATGGCAACGTCCCATAACTTATTTCTGCTGTCTAATCCACCAATACTTACAGGCGGTACTTCACAATAGAAGTCGCTAACTTCCGGTAATTAATTTTGGGAGAAAAAGGGTATTTTTGAAGAAAACCACTTTATGTTAAGCACTAAAATCTAGAAGGACCATTTGGTGTTTAATTTATGTGTATTTACAACTTGCAAGGGTTTGGAAAGCGCAACAACGCTTCGTCACTTTTGGAGGCAATTATATACTACCGGAAAGTTACGTTAACCTAGTATGTAGAATTACAAGCTTACGCATTCCAGGTAGAAGAAAAGTCTCCTGGTGCAAATATAGCTGCAAATTAAAACAGTTGCGCATATACAATACAAAGTTGTTTTGCTTTTATAACTATTGTGCACAAACAAATTGTTCCTTGCAAATGAATCAGGGGCGAATTTTATTTTCTTTACTTCAGCTGTCAATCGACTGAAGGTATTCAACCAAGACTGCCAGATTAGATCATAGATTTTGCTTTCATTCTGAAGGGGAAATTATGGTATTGTGTAGGTTCTTTCACACAACGACTATTGTTAAGGTCAGGTTTATTGCGTGCATAAAAAGCAAAAGAATATGCAGCTGATTAAATGCAGCGCGGATGAATAGCGTTCAAGTGTTTTTTCCGAACCAGCCATTTATGATTGATAGCCCAGCTGGGATGAGAACTATATTTTTACGTTGATTGAGTTTCTCATTCCTGGTAGAATGTTGATATAACTAGTCAAGCACTCTCTACTTACGGAGGTAAAAAATGAGTTCAAGTTTCTTGCCATTTGTTTCCATTACACGATCTGGAGGCATATTTATTGTAGCGAATTACAACCGTTTATATCACATGGTTGCTTACCTGTCACTGATTTACATTTCAATTTTCCTTATTCATACTTCGAATAACAATGGCTCTTTGGACGCACATCCGACTGATGGTGATTGAAGCAACATCATCAAAGCTGACAAAATAATACGCTACGATACGTGACTAGTAGATATATGCAATATAAAAGTCATCAAAATTACTGTATTCCATTAATTAACGTATGTCATAATAGTAAAAATTTTCGATTTTAAAATTTTGTACGTTTTCGTTGCAACGAAGACAACCAGGGTTCAACAGGACCATAAATTGTTGACGATTAACCTTCGACTTGCTCGAATGTCGTATCTGCCGCTCTTTCTGACTGCATTATAATGATTTTGCGCTGAGATATCTATACGATAAATTTGACGCATCAAATATGATATGTTGAAACGTGCCATCTCCTTCTCTCCACAACCAGCTGACCGTCGTAGGTATGCGTGAAATACACACATAAATACAAAGAAAGTTTCATTCTTTGATGCGCTTGATATATTCCTATGGGCAGGCTCAGGTAAATGTTTACATAAATGAAAGATTGATCACAGATTAATCAGGAATATTAAACGCCATTAGCCCATAACCTGGTTAACTGTAATGAACTGCTGTTGACAGACCTACAGCCACTCTCTTATACGTTAATAAAATACAGCTAACTGTATAGATTTTTTATGACGAAACAGTTGGTCTTATGATAACTAGACTCTGATCGCACGCATGCTCGTCTTTATGGGAGGCCTGAATATCATTTTCAATTTCGTTCGGTTAAAATGGTGCTGTTGTTTTTTCCTAAATTAGTGCTCGGGATTACATTTATGCACTCCGGTGGATGGATTGCTCAGATTCTGGAGCAAGTACCTTTGAAAAAGTCGAATATTTGCTGGTGCTGAAGTAACATTCCGCAGATTGAAAAGCTAGTTGAAGCTTTGAGTAGAAGGGTTTTGGCAAGTATTTTTGTTCGTAGCAGTCAGCCAACAATTCAGGTAAGTCAACTACCTATCCGGAAATTTACCAGATGGCCGTTTCTCCCTATTGGGGATCGTTATTGGTGCGCATACTTCGGTTCTCTAGTTGAAGCATAGCCCCAAGTTGTCTAAGATAGTAGGCTATAGATTGCAAGAGAACCGCCACTAGCTTTCAGCTATTCAATGGAATATGCAACGTCAAAAAATATTGACACAACAACCTTGAAGAGTTGTAGAATATATGGCATTTGTAAAACCTGAAGAGACAGGGTGACAAATAAGAGAACATCTTGATCTCGGATGCTCCAACTAGCAGGCAACGTGCTTTAATTTCAAGTACAAATCTCCAAGGAAAAACACGATTATTCACAGACCGAAAAAATGTTGGACAAAAACCATACGAAAATTTGTTATCCACTTACACAATTCTAACATAAAACAAATTATCATAATGGTATACTAAGGAACAAGGTATACCTAGTAATTTGGCTGAACTTTAAAAAAGCCATCCGGCAAAATCGGGGACTTCATGGTGAATACACAGAACTGGATAAGCATTGAGATAGCAGAATCTGAAGTAAATTTACCTGGTATGTCATTCTTCTGAATGACAGAAACGGAAGAGTTAGTAGCGTAATTATATATTAAAAGAATAACCGCTTATATGCTGTTATTGAGCATCAAAATTTATGTGCCCAAGATACGCCTTATTTCCTTTTATGATTGATAGAATATACTCATGTACATCAATATCAGAAATCATTTCAGGGATTAAAAATTCTTTTCGGTAAATCACATCAGGCCCAAACTTTTACATAACAGTGATTGTGGAGATAGCGTCAATTGGGGCTGGGATTGACTTCTTGACTGTTTGAATGACCAAAATCGATAACTTGAGACAGAGATAGAGATGGTAGACCAAGTAAACTAAATAAACATGTGTACATAAGGCTCATTAGTAAAAGGTAATTAAGTAGGTAAGACCACAGCCAAATAACTAAGTAACGGTGCCCGTTGGCCAAGGTAGTAATATCGGCCGTATAAATCGTTTTTGGACATATAATTCCGGCTTTAGATGGTGAATGTACATAGCCTCGAAAATGAATAAGTGCTGCTTACGGAATCCATGGGAGAATTGTTCAGGTAATGAGTAAATGACTTTGAAGTCATTCTCTGAATCTGTATGGTCACATTCAAGGAGGTGCGACATGATAGAGCTGTCTGAAAACTTCATTTCGCCTCTGCAAATCCATGCCGGGATGTGTTCACGAACCCTCTGAGATAGGCGTCTCGTCGTGCGACCCACGTATCGTGCACCAAAGGAGCAGGATACGTGGGTCGCACGACGAGACGCCTATCTCAGAGGGTTCGTGAACACATCCCGGCATGGATTTACAGAGGTGTAATAAAGTATTCATACAGCTCTATCTTGTCGCACCTCCTTGAATGTGACCATACAGATTCAGAGAATGACTTCAAAGTCATTTACTCATTACCTGAACAATTCTCCCATGGATTCCGTAAGCAGCACTTATTCATTTTCGAGGCTATGTACATTCACCATCTAAAGCCGGAATTATGTGTCCAAAAACGATTTATACGGCCGATGTTACTACCTTGGCCAACGGGCACCGTTACTTAGTTATTTGGCTGTGTGTCTTACCTACTTAATTACCTTGTACTAATGAGCCTTGTGTATACATGTTTATTTAGTTTACTTGGTCTACCATCTCTATCTCTGTCTCAAGTTATCGATTTTGGTCATTCAAACAGTCAAGAAGTCAATCCCAGCCCCAGTTGACGCTATCTCCACAATCACTGTTATGTAAACGTTTGGGTCTGATGAGATTTACCGAAAAGAATTCTTTACCCTGAAATGATTTCTGATATTGATTCATATTAATGAAATGGGAATCTTTGCTTTGCTGAAGATCAGCATTGCCCGTGATTCATTGAAACTCTTAAATGAGTATCTGAAGTTCAATACTCGGCTGGAAGAATCCAGGGTCGAATTGGAATTCCTCAATGAATGCGTGCAGGCAAACCGCTATCCAAAGCACTTTTGGAAGGAAATACGGCGGTGTGGCCTCTACCCAAACGCAAAAACCTTGAAGAGACATGCACTCAATTATGTGGATACCATCCGCGTTAAGATGTCGGAGCTGGAGAGATTCATTTCGCAAAGATTAACAGCTGTGTTATGCCTGCCTGAAGACTTGAGACAGCCTTTTGAGGATTATGTAGAACTGGTTAAACAGAAAATGGGAGTAAGGAAACAAAAGAAGTTAGTTAGTACGCTTAATAGCCATGTCCCCCAGTTGACATTTCCGAATAACCCGCAGCGATATGTGTTTAACCTTTCAAGTGTGATACTAACCCAGACGCAGCTGAACGTGTTGTCATTAGGTCTAAAGTTTTGCATACCATGTAAGAAAATAGATCAGGCGGCTTTAGAGGTGCAGTTTGAAAGCCTAATTGCTCAGACTAAAGACCTGCTTCCAACCTCATCAAGTGATGTTGAGAATCTAAAATCTAGCCTAGTTCATAGTTGCCACGAATACGTTAAGACCAAACCATCTAGTAATAGTATTATCACTAGGGAACAAATCCAGTCACTTAAAGAGCTACGGTTAAACAACGAATTAATAATCTCTAAGCCAGACAAGGGCTCCGGCATAGTGCTAATGGATAGGGTGGATTATATCCATAAAAAGCAACAAATCTTCAGTGATGAGAGTTAGTTTCAGAGGCTCATGACAGGAAAAGACAACACAGGAGAGTTAGAGAAACAGCTAACCGGCTGCCTCAGGCGAATGATGCAAGCCAAACTCATCACGAAGAAGGAATTCGAAAAGCTGAAGCCTTCAGGTGGACACCTACCGAGATTATATGGCCTACCTAAAGTTCACAAGGAAGGCGCCCAATGCGCCCAATCTTGGACATGGTGGGTTCTCCTCAACAATTGTTGGCCCAGTGGATGGTGGCGAAGCTCCAGCCGTTACGGAATTCGGTTTGTACTTACTGCATGAGAGAAAAGTTCAAATTCATTGAGAGGATATCTGAAAGCAACCTTGATAACAAAATGATGATATCATTCAATGCCCAGTCGTTGTTCACAAACATTCCATTGCTCGAAACCGTGGATTACGTATGCGAGCTTGCTCGGCAACTGCCCATATACACAATTTTTCCGGAGACTTTGCTAAAGGAGGTGTTACTTCGTTGCACGTTAAATGTTCAGTTCACTTTCAATGGTGAAATGTACCGTCAGATTGACGGAGTGGCCGTGGGATCTCCTTTGGGGCCGCTGCTGGCTGATATATTCATGGCGAAATTGGAACATGGCCCACTTGCAACGCACATCCGTGAAACCGAAATGTACGTACGGTATGTGGATGACACCTTCGTACTTTGCAAATCCGAAAAGCATGCGGAAGAGTTGCTGAAAGCTTTCAATGACGCACACAAGAATCTCCATTTCACTTGTGAACACGTACTCGGGAACCGTTTACCTTTCTTGGATGTAGAAGTTATCCGTAATTCAGACGGATCATGCAGCAGAAAGTTACACAGAAAGCACACATGGACTTTGCAGTACACTAACTTCCACAGCGCAGTGCCACTAAAACACAAGCGGAGTTTAATCAGATCTCTCGCCTTCAGGGCGCGCAGTATTTGTACACCGGATACCGTCAACGAAGAACTACAGAGAATCAGCGACGCCCTCACGGAAAAAGGCTATCCGGATAAATTTCTCATGAAATATTTGAAGGAACGTAATCGAAAGCCACCTAGGAGCATTGCTCCTAAGAAAGAGCTTTTCATACATATACACTTTAATGGCGATTCTGCAGCTGATATGTTATATAGACGCCTGAAAGATGCCGTCGAGAAAACCTATTTCGCGGCCCACCAGAGAATCGTTTTCCACAATAAGCCGTTGCTTACAAAACCCTTGAAGGATAGACTACCGCCGTTGACCCGTTCAATGATCATTTATCAATACTCGTGCTCCTGTGGTGCACGATACGTGGGTCGCACGACGAGACGCCTATCTCAGAGGGTTCGTGAACACATCCCGGCATGGTTTTACAGAGGCGAAATGAGGTCTTCAGACAGCTCTATCATGTCGCACCTCCTTGAATGTGACCATACAGATTCAGAGAATGACTTCAAAGTCATTTACTCATTACCTGAACAATTCTCCCAAGGATTCCGCAAGCAGCACTTATTCATTTTCGAGGCTATGTACATTCACCATCTAAAGCCGGAATTATGTGTCCAAAAACGATTTATACGGCCGATATTACTACCTTGGCCAACGGGCACCGTTACTTAGTTATTTGGCTGTCGTCTTACCTACTTAATTACCTTTTACTAATGAGCCTTATGTACACATGTTTATTTAGTTTACTTGGTCTACCATCTCTATCTCTGTCTCAAGTTATCGATTTTGGTCATTCAAACAGTCAAGAAGTCAATCCCAGCCCCAATTGACGCTATCTCCACAATCACTGTTATGTAAAAGTTTGGGTCTGATGAGATTTACCGAAAAGAATTCTTTACCCTGAAGTGATTTATGATATTGATTCATATTAATGAAATGGGAATCTTTGCTTTGCTGAAGATCAGCATTGCCCGTGATTCATTGAAATACTCATGTCTTATAGCTCTGATTTACCGTCGACTAAG